AGACCGTCTTTTCTGAGTTTGGATGCGATCTGTTAATCAATATTTGGATTCCGGACTCATCAGCCATATGTCTCGACCTCCACCGCAACCGATTTTTGTGCATCATGGCTTCATTGGAGGAGTGACATCTTGCGCGGTTGTCGAAATCGACGATAGGACAGCTATAGTGGTAGGCACTGGTGTTGGAAAATGCGAAGTGTACGATGCTGAAACGCATATGCTGTTGCGAACAGTTTATGGTAATCCATATATTTATAGATACATAACCTTCATAGACTAAAAGAAACAGTTTTATTGCCAATTTGAAAATAAGATTTAGGGTTATGAGAGTTATGAGTCATCGTAGCAGTTTCAAATTGCGCGAGGTATGACGATGCCTAAGGCCATTCCCAGATGAGAAGGCAATGTCTATTGTTCGGCAGGTGAAAGAGGGGAGAGAGGCGAATCACAGCCGGAAGATGAATAAAGTGAACCTCCTGTAAAAGAAGTCACAAATTATCTGGCAAGCTATCAAAGTGGGAAAACGGTTTAAATTTACATGTATGGGGTGCATTTACGCACGGTTGGGAAGAAATCATTTGGGCATTGCATTTTAGAACTGGTATCCATCGGAAGTTAATCAGGAAATGGACAAATTTTTGACTTTAGTGCTGGTGTTTGCAGAATCAATTGCGCATGTAGGCGGCATTTTCATCGGGGGCCGGATTTTCATTCCCAGTAGGTAAATTTCTGAATCATAGCTTGAGTTTATTCTATAGAGTATCAAGAAAAATGCAGGAAAAATTGGATGGGGAAAAGGGTAGGGAGGCTGAATACGAGGCAAGAATCACCCGCGCCCTTTGGATTAGTTGAGAAGTAAGAACAAGTCGCTTGCACAATTTTGTAACCTAAGTACGCTATTTGAATCGAGATTCCAGCAAATGGCCTTTCATATCGAACAACACAACCTTTCTAAATCCAGTAATGATTAGTGATTATCTCTCTTTTTCAAACGAACTTCCTTTACAGAAGATCCTGAAAAACGCTCTATCTCCTCAGTGGGTACCTATGATGACATGCTATGGGTACATGTGCGTAATTGTGGTGTGTTCTTCATCGGCCCTAACCATGAAGTACTCCACAGTATAAACTTGAACCATTGTGGTTACTGTAGAGCTACGGTAATTGCCTCCAGTCTTATATATCCTGATACCTCTGTGAGTCAAAATGAGGATTCCTTTTCACAAAAGTCGAAATTGATTTGTTTAGAATGAAAAGCATTACCTGCATATCGTTTCTATAGTTTCAAAGGACCAGGTCAAAGTTTCTTTGAAGCAGTTGCCATTATCGCTTACATCTGTGGATGAGGTTATATATGTAGGCGACGAAGCGGGTACCGTAACTCAAGTCTCCTTACAAGGGAAAATTGAGGCTGAGGTGAGTT